GCTGTTCTCTGTAATTCCTATAAACTAGTAGAGCTGAGGCTTGATTTGGTTAAAGTTCTAACATTTTTTTAGGTCATGATATTTCTTATGCTGTATGTTTCCTGTTGAATCATATCAAGAGCTTGAAGTCTGGTTGCCCCGCTTTTAATAATGTCACTAATCATTCCAGATGATGCCAGAATGCTCTCTTAAGTTTCTTATGAATATTTCACCTATAATTTTAGGATTCACTGGCAACCGTTGCTTAGATCCAGTGTTTCATTAGAAAATAGAATGTCTTTTATTGCCATTCCTTCTGCATTACTTAGCCATTAATCTTCTCTAAAGAATAATTTTTCCTCATCAATTTTTTGGCTTCCCTGAAATCGAATTTGTTTAGGAAAGGCAGGGTAAATTCTTTATTCTTTCCATATATTTATCAATTTTCAGAGTAATGAATTAGTGACCGTACAACATCAAAAGGCAACAAGTCAGTTTTTAAAAAAGCATCATTTGGAACTCATGAGCTTGATATGTATAATATATTCATTGAGTGTGATTATTTTTCTTTTTGATAGTCACGCTGCGCCATTCCGACTAGTGGGAGCTCTTTCAGGTTGGCTTCCTTTGGACGTGATCAATTTAGTCTTTGATAGTTTCTTGCTTTTCTGCATTTTAAGATTTCCCATGCTCATCTTGTACATTTCACATTCCATATAGATTCTCAAAAGGAGATTTACAGGGTCAAAAGGGATAACTGTCTTTAAGGTGGTTTGACTGAATGGAAAGTGGCTTTAGAGGTGGTAGACCAGGGTTAGAATGCAAGCTCTATTGCTTCCCTGCTCTGGGACCTAGAAAGGGCTTTATCTCTCATCATGAGGATGATAAGACTTCTTGTAAGGAAGAGGAAGTTACAATTACATATAGAATTATGTTCTTATAGTGTTAAGTGGAAAAAGTAGGACTCACAATTATATAAAAACCGCATGGAGAAACTATTGTAATCAAATACGCTCACATGTCCATAGTGGTGTCTTGGACGGTGGGACTACAGGTCGTGCATTCTCTTCTTTCTGCTTCAAACTGTACTTTTTCACACAAGCTGGAAGGGAAAGAAGTAAGATGACTTCATTTATAAAAAATAAGCCCACAGCACAAATCCCATAGTGTTGATGAAAATTCATTTGGGGTATGATTTATCGCACAATCTATTTGTATCTTTCATAGTCAATTTAATCCACTGGTCCTTTAATAGAATTTAATGCAAACTCTATAATAAAGAAAAATACTGATGTGCCTACACTCTGCATCTGCTTCTTCTCTATATTATGTCGTATAGATTTCAAGGGACCAGGTCAAAGCGGAGTGTGTCCTGCTTTCAAGGATGACCTCTGGGGGCTCATGCTCTTCTGCCTCCTTGTTCCCAGGGGAGAACCTCTAGGTTCTGGGCCGACAGCTGAGGGCAGAGCAGCAAAAACAGGAAGCTAAATAAAATCTCCCTTTGACACGCTCATAAATCAGTTTTCCTATGGGACAGGATGGTTGGTGCTGGTGCACATTGAAAACAGTCTTATTGATCAGAAAACTAAACCAGTTGGTTCTTAATTCACCTAGGGATTCAGGTTGATCCAGAGTGATTGTCAAGGATGAATTCATCTGTAATCCTTTAAAATGATGGCAAATGATAAAAACTTTAGTGGAAGGTGTCTGCAGAGGTTTCTGATCCAGGATTCGATCTGCTTTTCAGGAATGATATTTTGGTCTTGGAGTCAAGGGTCATAATTTCTTCCTTTAAAATGGGCAGTGAAATTCTTCAGACCACATGGGGTTTAAAGGAAGGTGATAATCAGAGGTAACATTTTTCTTTATGTTTTTTTTCTATTTAAGTACATCTTATTTCAAGAGAGAAGTCTTGATTTTAATTTTGAATCAGTGTAGGCTAA